TCCTCCACTAGACGAGTGTGTGTATTTCTCCGGTTGGTTGGTGGACTGATTTGCAACACAAGCAATGCAACTGCAGACGCTCCTTTGATTGTGGCAATCAGAGCTAACGAAAGGGTGCCAAAAGTTTGTGTAATTTCATATTCAATGTACACAACATTGGGGTTAAGCCAGTTGGCCTCGCCCATTTCGGGTGGTAAAGGATACGTCTTAAATTCACAACAGAATTAAATTACCGAATCCATTTTTAACTTGAATCGCATTGCAGCGACACTTTGCCCAATCGATGTGCAATTAAAATGCGAACCATGCCCGGGCTTATGATTAGAGGAAAAGATCGCCGCGATTTTATGCACGTAGCTTGTCAATTCAACTTCAAATAGCCGGAGCGCATTAGCCCTGGATAATATTCAGGCGGCGTCGCGTCGCCGTCACCATCGCGCCATGCCAACAACAATTAGGCAGAAGTTGAAATACGAGCAGCGACGACCGAGCGACGGTTGTTAATAGTGTTGAAGATGGTCCGCTGGTCCGGTGCGGACTGGGCTCGGATTTGGGCCTGCACTTAAGCACAGCGACTGGATCTCAACTTTGGCCAAATGGAATTGAAATGACAAGCGGCGGGAAGGGAAATCGCCTGGGTTGGGCAGCTAACTCATACACTGAACAATAAGACTATATAAACTTTAAAATATGTTTAAATTTTGTTCATTCAACTAAACGACTGGCTGACTGCCAAATAGATTCTTGGCTTGAATCAAGTTGTTTTTAGAGAGATACGCTTTCAAGAGAAAATATCTTCTAAATGCTCATGAGTTTATCTATTATTAATTTATTATTTATATATTTGGAAACCTTGCTTTAATAAACCTATCCTATTTCGTTCAGTGCGTAGTCACACAACTTGAAATCAGTGGATCGGGACGTTCTGTGATGCGAAATGCGAATGGGATGTGATGCCCAGCTGGATGCCGCCTATTGGCCTGTTGTTGTCACATTTATCACGGCTGTCCGGTTGCGGGGAGCAGAGCTCTTGCAGAACTTGCTGCAGGTCAAGTTACCGGCAAGTGAGATTTTTGAAGTCGCTCCCGCTGATTCCTTGCCGATTTCTGCTGCCAGACAAATGAAATGGAACAGGTAAGCTGCATTTGGCCCGAGGACGCCCTTTGTGCGAGCTGCCGGTTCATTGAACTGGCATGCAAAATGTATTTTTATTGAATTTCATTGATAAATGCTGCCTGCAACATGCATGGCCCCCACTGTTGCTCCTTTGGTTGTTTGTTCGATGGCAATTCGATTTCTGATTGCATGCCGTGGCATAAGTATGCTGTTACCTTGCCGGGCTCCTTTTAATCGACTTAAATCCAATTTGGGTCATTTGCAATCAGTGGCCCAAAAGGTAACCGAACTCTCCGGAAAGTCATTCAACTTTAGCGAAATGTCTGCGAATTCTGTCATCGATCTGTATTGATTAGCCAAAATGGAAATAAATAAAATCTGGGTGGTATCCGAGCATCTGGCGAGAGTTTCGGTCTATTGTTTTCTACATTTTTTATGACATTCCCAACGCGGCGCTAGCCGAAATAAACTTAAAAATAGTCATGTGACGGCAATTTAACAGCCAGAAGCGCCATAAGTAACCAGAGTTTAATTCAGACAGACCAAGTGCACTTGCAATTATTAAATAAGTCCACCGCAGTTACACAGTCATCAGCAGAGTAAATACACCTTGTGGGAATACTGCATGACTCACAATCTCTGGCTTAAGTGTGCTTAACTCTGTTTACTTGCTGCAATGGCCAAATAATTAAGAAAACAAGCAGTTCGTTTAACCGGCCCACTTGCAAGGTGTCAATGTCAAGTATTTAAGGCCTTAAAGTCAATCAACTGATCTTCTCGGCTTCTCACATTTTTGTTGATGCTGAAAAGAAGGTTTACTTCTGCACCACGTAGCACAGCGTTTTAAATATTAAGTACATTACTTCGCTGCTATTGAAATCAAAGTCGCTGGAAAATGTTATTTTCGTCGCGCTTGGAAAAGCTATTTTCAGACTGGAAATCATTTGCAGATTATTTGCGTGGAGTCTTTGAATAACCGGTATCGGTTCAGTCACGTGGTTTGGCAATCGGGTTTGGTTTGTTTTCCGAGTGGTTGATATAGTGGTCATGTGCTGTTTTTCCATTGCCTGATTGCTGAGGAGAATTGTATGCTGCACAGATATCAGGCAGTAAAATGTATAGTAGCGAGTCACGAGTGACTTTTGCAGTTTGTCGTTTTCCTCAAACGAGTTCTTAAATTTTGAAAAATGTTTAACGCTTTTTAAAAGGGAAGAATTTTTTACATTCGTGTTTTATAAGTAATTCAACTATATTTATTATTATTATTATTATTATTATTATTATCTATACTAATATTATAAAGAGGTAAAATTTGTTTGTTTGTTTGTTTGTTTGTTTGTTTGTTTGCAGGGAATAGGCTCCTGAACTACTGGTCCGATTTAAAAAATTCTTTCACCGATAGAATGCTATATTATCGTGGAGTTAAATAGGCTATAATTTATTTTGAAAAAAATTAGGGATCCGTAAGAAAATTGCAATATTGTCGCATATAAAGTGAGTTGCTACCTCATCACACTGACAAACACGCTCCCATAGCATTTTAACTCAATTTTTGTGTTCACTTTGAAATTGTGAAAAAAAAAAGAATTTTTATTCAATTTAAGTTGAACTGTGAAAATTATGTGGATCGTGCATTTGAGAATAAATTCACCACTCTGTCCATAGTCCAAAATGCTTAGAGGACGACGTGCAAACATTGGCCGCAGACATCCAAGCCAGCAGCCAGTATATTCACAAAACTTAAGCGAAGAAAGACAAATGAGCACATGGAGATCATTGGCATCATTCAATCGCATGGCATTCCAATATGACCCCACTGCGAACTACAGTGATAATGAAAATTTAGATATTGGACCAATGGCGACTATATACCGATATTGCAGTGCGTTAAGGTTTAAAAGAGAAACGGCTGGATTGTGCTGCGCAAGTGGAAAAGTCAAACTGGAAAAGTGTTAAATCACCATCTTTCTATACTTCCATATATTTGAAAAAGGTTGCAACATTGACTTTTATGTTGTTAAATTGTGTTGACCAGCGAAGCGGACACAGGCCCTCTAGTTAACTATATTTCTAGTGTTTGAAAAAAAACTACAACACTTTTAAAGGGGTTTTTGGTATTCTCGCTTAACACCTTTAAAATTGCCTTCTTGATTTACATTGCATGTTGTCAAAATGTGTGGGCAAAATGTGCCAAGTGAGTGATTTTCCAGAAGTTGAATGGATAAACAATATGCGGCTCGCGCTTCATGCACTTGACACGCAACGGGGCTGCTGTTGTCATGCTAATTGACTACTTTGTAGAATTATTGTAATCCGACGAAAGAAAAGATCACATGAAAAGTTGCGGAAAAATCACAGAGCGAGGAAGAGAGATACCTTTCATTCATGGCATGTCGTATGTCAACAGAAATACAACAAATTAACAACAGCAACAAAAAGTTCGAGTATCGGCATTAAATTGCCATCAACAAAGCTGTCGTCTCGATAAAATATTCATGAAATATTCTCTACGAGTGTATGTGCTCTGAGGATTTGACTTCATTATTCGGCTTGCCGTGCGGTCGCAGGTTGTGGTCGGTGTGGTTACAGCGAGCCGTTGTGATTACACTCAAAAAAAAAATTGAAAAAAAAAATTTAATTAGATTTGAAATTTGCCCAGAAACCAAGAATTAAGGGTACCATTTTACCGCATGATTAATCAATCTATCTTTCTATTTTCTGTGACGGTAAATTAGATTTTAAACTTCATTTCTTATAAACAATTGGATCTTATTGTTTTATTCTTTCAAGGTTCGGTAATTCTCTCTAAATTTTTTTGAGTGCACGATATTATGCGTGTCCTTATTATTGGAGATAAAATGTTTATACCAGTTTGACAATCTGTCCGATGCGGGCTCATGTTTAATTAGTCATGTTTGTCACAAATTCTGACATATGAGCTTTTCAATCGATGCAGCACATTTAAAAACGTCAGTTGGCCAGCCAGCGGGCAGCTCTAAAAATAAAACCAATTTCGATTCCAATTCCAATCGGCCACTTTGTTGACAGTTGTTGTTGTTGTTGTTTTTGTCGCCGCAGCATTGGTAGTTGCAGTTGCACAAGAAATATATCGTTGCATATTTCACGCCCAGCATTGCGCGAATATTTATCAAGTAACCCGCCCGATCCGCTAGTCCTTCGGCTCTGCTCTCTTTTCCTTTAAAAAGCCAGCGTCTTTCGCAGCGGGCAAAGTATAAAAAAAATAGTTAAAATGTAGATTTATGCAAATGGAACGCATAGCTCGCTCGCTCGCATCCTGTCCCATCTCGCATTCCCTGTATGCCAATGTGTTAGTAGCCCGCCGCCAGGCGTTCGTCCTTACCTCCCTTCCTCCTCCCTCCCCCTTCACTTTTTCACCCACTGTCAGCTCAGTTTGCTTGCCAGTTCGCCAGTTTGCCAGTTTGCCAGCTCGCTGCCGGTTGTCTGTCTGTCTGTCCGCCTGTCTGGGTATTGAGTGTATTGCATTTAATATTTATTTGCTTTTATTTTCCCCTTTTTACCCGCGCTGCCGAGCACATTTTTCTTTTTCGAAGAGCTAGAAGAGAACGCTTCTTCTTCTTCTTCTTCATCTGCCCGGCCGTCAGGTGGAAGAGGAAAATTAAAAATGCAATTGCGATTAAAATTGCATGACAAACGCGTCGGCAAAAAGTGTTGCCAAAGGGGGTTTGCATGTTTAGCACCCACGGTGCCGCACTCCCCGCGAGGAGCCCCACCGATAAATAGTTGGATCCACAGCGGGAGACTTCCGAACAATGGGACACGACTGCCCCAGATAGATGTGATTCACTTTCGACTGATTCACGCGCCTTAATTTAAAACCTACTAAGTAATCGATTCACACTTACCTTTATTTAGTCGCAAAGGAAAAGTGTCACCAATGGTAATTAGCGCCAAGTCCGATCCGATTCGTTGAATCTTTAGTTCGTCAGCGAAAAATAAGAAGTTTGATTTGTTAATTAGCGCGGCATAAAAATACGTTTAGCCCTATTTGACCAGTCCAAAAATACGCATATGTCGCTGGGATTTCACCACCGCGAATTGTTTTATATCCGCAATCATTGTTACATTAAAATCCGTTCATATGCTGATTATTGTACATATTTATTTATCTTTTTGTTTTGCCCGTCTTGGCTGGCTATCTGCCCAGTTTCTCTTTAATAGAATTAAAATCTTGTGGCAACGGCCGCCACACGCGACACCCGGCTGTATCATTCCTCCTCCGATTTTCTCTCTATAGCCTATATCTTTGTATCGTCCCAAGTGCATTAAGCGATAAACAAAGCGTGAGAGAAGAACAAGGAACAATGACTGAAAAAAACTGAGGACATGACAGTGACATAGGAAAATGCGTATAAAGGTAAACTTGAGAGGATTCACAAGAAAAATATCTTTAAATATATGTTAATCCTTTAAGTACCACAATCTTTGGGTTCCTTAAAATGTTCTTGAAAACACATATTTCACGGCTCGTTTAATTTTGGCATAATTTTGGTTGACTGAGTTTTACAAAACTGCGGGTATCCTACATTTTACATTTAAATTAAATATATTTTTCATGGAAAGTTTATTATATAAAAGGATATCTCAGACTTAAACTTTTTTATTGGTAAGAATATAACAGGTTTTGTGACTAGAATCGTAAGAAATATTATATATTTTTGACCAACTTTTTGTTTAGAAATTGTACCTAATGTTATTTGCAACTAGTCTACCGTCAATAATATGTTTTTCAAACTAGACCGTTTTTTCTGTAATTTGTACTTCAATTTTATAAGTAAGAACCACCTTGTAATTAAGATATTTTTTGTGGGGACCTAGAGATATTTATAGTTGGCTGCGCAGCGTTGAGCCCAATTCAAAAATGAGGCGAAACGTAATCACGTGACTAGCGAATGATTTTGATTTAACCGGCGCCAAACGATTCAATTTTTTTAAATCTTTTACTTTTTGTTTTGATTCCGGTTTACGCTTTCTGTTTTCGGCTTTCAGTTGTATCTTTTTTTGTTGTTGCTTGCTTGTTTCGCTTTTCGGCCAGCATTCGTCACTCTTTCGCGCACTTGTCTGTCGCACGTCTGTTGGGGGACTGAATGTCAAATGATTTGGCCGCCCAATGGTTATGCTTTATTTATAACGGCACTAATTAATTTTCACTCTTTCGGCCGCTCGGAGCACGGGGCGGGGTTGGGCTGTAAAATGAAAATGGAAATGAAAACGATGTTGATGCGATTGTGATTGGGGATAAGCTCGCCGACCGACTACGAGCGACTAATATAATTTGCGGAAATTGTGACACAGCACTGGGGGCCAGGTAATTGCACCCGGCAAAAACGTAGGGCTCAAGCTCAAGGCCCCGCACTCTCTTCCCGACTCCCCCATTGTCATTTGTTATTAGTTTTCCATATGCCATATTCTACATTTCACATTCACGTACTGCACATGGGGCTTAGTAGTTGCAGGTGAAATAGATTTGCGGACACGAAAACTATTTTGTTTGCTATCAAAAAATGGACCGGAACAGGGTGGATTAACTGGGCTACTTTATGTTCAAGGGATTTACCTATACATACGAATGTCTCTATGTATCTAGTAAAATCTATATTCAATTAGTTAGAGTAAGCTGTTTGGGGGAACCTGTTCCGTTGCCAGCTGACTATTTAGCGCTTTATGTGGCATATTTGAAAAGTTTGACTAAAAACCGTTTAAATTATATTTTGGTAGCTCGTTTGCATTGCTAATAAGCTTAGGGGTCCGGCCAGAATTTATAGCCGGACCACGTGAAAAGTTCGTAAATATTTATCATTTGGAATTAATTTATCAAAATCCAAAAACTACAGGCCATAAAAAGCACACCAAAGTGGCCGTTTTATTGGGATTGTCAATGGGAATTCAATTTCTTCCGAATTAGGGGCTTTTTTTACGTCGCTTTGAAGAGAAATTTCTCAGATTGTTGTTGAAATTTTCCGCTTAGCTTTGTCAGTTTGGTCGCGCAATTTTTCGAAACCATAAATACAAAATTTTCCACATCTCGAGTGGGTGGGGTGGTGCGGCGACCTTCGTTATCAAAAATTTCTGTCACGTCCGCACGAGTGACCCAAGGGCCCTCAAAAGGGTTATGTAAATGCCTCAGCTCCGATTGAACTTTCGGTCAGTCAGATCGCGTGATTGCAAAGCCTCTGATAATGCCGAACTTGTTCAATCAATTTTCCGTTTATCGCCTACACTTTTTTTCAACTTTTTTCTATTTATATTGAAATGCTTTTGTTGGTAAATAAATTGTGCATTGTGGCACGCTAAGAAGAGGAGCAAATAGTTGTTTTATTTACGTTTTCGGTGAGAGTAGTTAGCTTCCGTTTTCGATTTCTTAGTTTGCCGTTTTCTCGGTTTCGGGAACCTTTATTTTTGTGTGTTTTCAAATGGATTTTCAGTGCTGCACGGATCGATTCGGAACTGCGTCTTGTGTCTGCGAGCGCCACGACGGGTTTGTTTTCATCGCCAGCTGCGCGGTTGCCTCTTGGGCGGCATTTATTTCTCTGTTGGCTCGATCTTGTTCGTCGCGGAAGGTTCGTGAGGCGTCGCTGTCGACGGCGGCGGCGGCGCCAGCTGCTCTGCTGGGCGTACCGCCAGCGTCAGCATCTCACAGTCAAAGTCCCAATCGCATTGATTCCACAAAAATAAGCAAGAAAGAACGTCTACGGTATGGGTCACGACTGCAAGATACCTAGTACATATTGCAATTTTGATTAAAAAGGGAGAGTCAAAATGTGAAGGAGAATCTTGATCTTAAAGCAAAATAAAAAAATGTATATAATTTATGAAGTGGATCGGGAGCTCTATATCCTTTAAAGGGAAACGATTTAGAAGGCGGAACTAAATATTTTGCTTTATTGTGTAGAATTTTTGTATATACAAAGGTTATTCGTTTATTCATGTTAGTTCTGATTGATACCCTACTGAAGACCAACTTTATGTGTAAGTTATATAAAATGTTATCATCAAGTACATTTTGAATTAAATAATTGGTTATTTTTTCAGGACAGTATCTAAAAAAGATCTCTACGTGCTAGATTTTAGAAACGATAAACTGAAATAAAGCACAAGAGTACTGACCAGGCTAAATTTGTTTCGCTATTTAAATTTTTTTTGTGCTATGAATAAATAGCTTCCCAGATAAGAAATAATATATTATTTGACTTCTGTTTTCTCTTTCTGAACTAGTCTGCATATTAATCCCTCCTCAAAAAATGTTTTTTAAACATTTAAGGGTAAAAAGTCCAATGATATACCCGTGCAATCTACGATTACTAAGTATCAATACAACTGAAATGAGCGAACATCTCTTAGTCGCACAGGCAAATATTGTGGATTTGTTTACGCACTGGCTGTGGCGGTGGCACAGAGCCGGTTTTGACCATTTTTTCGGGCCCACAGCCCACAAGCCCGTTCCGTTCCGATCGATCCACTGACCACTGGCCAAGCAATGGATTCTGCTCCACGCGGCGCAGAGTGCATTTGCCTCGTTCGGCTGCGAAACGAAAAATATTCGAAATGCCAGTGCAAACATGGCAACGTAACGCGATATAATTAACACATGCAACGCTAACGACGACACCGACAAATGTAGATAAACAAACAACAATTGTCGACGTTGCCCTTTGCCCAATTATATTGGCAGAAAAGGGGGAAGGAGCGGGGCTTTTTAGTGGGCGGAGTCAAGTGCAGGGCAAAAATTAAAATTTCTAACTCTCGAGAGGGGGAATTTCCTTACCTATTGGACCCCAAGCAAAAGTGACTCATGTCTCATCGTCGAAGCGTTAATTATACGTCTATCAAAACGTTTATTGTGTCTACAACTAAACATGTTGTAGGCCACCATCACACAGATAAATACTTTGCTTGTGTGGCAGGTTCAAGAAGCAATTGCCATAAAAACACTGATAAAAAATCTTTCAGAATTTTATCAGTGAAACAAAACCGGGGATAAATATATAGGTCAAGCTTGAAAAAGAGAGAATTATTAGGAGTGAAAATATATAAATATATGATTTAAAGATTAAAACTTAATAGGAACCGGAATACCATATAGAATTGTTCTTACCATAAGGAAACCAATTTAAGTTAATATTACCGTTTAAAGGTCTTGATTTAAAGCTACTTATTTTTCATTCCTAATACTACTTACTTTCCTTGAAATGCTCAGTTTTAAAACATTTTGTAACTTTTTAGTGTTTAGAAACTTAAAGTTGCGAGAGCAAGTTTCTCTTGAGTACTTAAGACTTTAATTTCTCTTCAGTGTTGTTCACTATTAATCGCTCCGTTTGTCGCTCAAGTTGTTGGTATTTGCGGCGAGTTGCATGTTGCAGACTTTGCAACTTTGGCCAACTTCCGGCAACAATTTCCACGCAGCCCAAGAAAAGTTTTTGCATTAAATACGAAACAGTGTTAAATAATTTCAGCTTTTTTACGATCATTTCTCTCGTCGTGGGCCTTTAGTCCTGTCGGCAGTCCGCGTTGGGCAACCGGCAACCGGCAGCCGGCTTGTGTGGCTAGTCCCGCCCATCATCTTCAGCGGAAGTGTTGCCGCCCAGTTTCTATCTGCGCATAGCGTTTACTTTATGACCGCTAAGCAGGGCGGCGGTCGTCTGTTTGGCGGTTGGCTTGGCTGTGCCAGTGAATTAGCACAAACCGCATGTTAGATTTGTTGATAACATGCCACCACCTCAGATCCTAACTACACCACTACGCCGCACTAGCCCACAAAAACACACAGACACGTTCGTGTTGTTGTCCTGCGGGTGTGGGCGCGTGTCCTTAGCCATGCAGTTAGAGGCTGTCAAGTTGAGAATTTTATGCGAAATGTTTAGTAATTAGTTGCATCCGCAAGGGGAAATTACTTAGCACAGCCAACCGCAAAAGTCCCTCCCCCCAGAAACCCCCATCTTCCCGCTTCTTTACTTCCGTTTCTGTCATTCCCTTCCCGCCAGCCGTTTTGCCTGGTTTGGTGCAAAAGTTCAAGCGTTGGCAAAATGTTGACAGCTTCAAGAAATACTCATTAAGGGTAGCTGGCTCACAAATCCTTAGGCACTGGCAAAAATAAGCCGATGCTTTATACTGTACTAAACCATTAAAGTTAAAGAAAAACAATTATGTTACCATTTTAATTTAATAATTGTGCAAAATGTAGTATGAATTTATTTTGAATAAATTTGTGAATCTCCTTCTTTGAACTAATTCAGGAATGCAAGATACTTACTTATTTAACGTCACTTACATTCATGAGTTGTAAACTATGAACTCCTGACATAAACAACTTCTAGAGTTTATATTACTTATTCAGAGTATGTAATTTGTTTAACACGTGTTTTCCGAATACTTGTACAGCAGACAAGTACTGGTAAATCTGTATTGTGATATACTTTGAAATTAATTGCTGCACAAATTGATTAAAAGCTTGAATTTAAGATGAACCATTTCTAACATGAGTCTACTTGAGGGAAGTGCAGAAATATTACGACGAGCTGCAGTCACTTCATCCACAATTATTTGGAATTAAGAAGTTTAGATAATAATTGCTAACACATACCTGACGAATAAATATTTATGTATATTGTATGTATATTTAAATATAGAATTATATTAGTTATTCGATTTCTAACAACGCTTCCAACATTGCTTTAATTTTGTTTCTCACTGTACGTATTTAGACGTCTTTCCGTATCACGCATACGTGTAGTTGCGCGGGTGAGCCAGCTCGCTCATTACTCATACGCAGCGTGCAACGGGACTCCTGTTGGTGCCAGGCGTTAAATTAACTAATTAAAACTTGCACAACTCATATTGCCATCTCTCTCTCTTCCTCTTTTTTTACCATAGAAACGAGCTTCTTGCTTCGTGACAATTATTCGCGGGTGCTTTTAATTTTTTCTAATGCCGCTGGAAAATGATGTTGGCAGCGACTTCTGACCTGGTTGATAAACGCTGCACAAGTTTCGGGAGCAACAACTGAAACAATTAGTACTGTGGCTGCCATTTAGGTTCAGCCCGCAGGTTCTCTGGCGTGAGTAGGTGGATGGATGGTGGGTTGGGCTGCACGAAAGTTGTAGCATCTAGCCCAGTTTTTGCACCTCGCGGACCGGCGTCACGTGTGTAATTAGCACCTGGCTGACTCGCAGACAGGCAAACAAACTGGCTTGACAAACTTTGCATGCTGCTGGCGCGCTTTG